ACGATGATTCAGTGACACGAGAGCAACATATTATCCCAAAATCTTTTTGGTTGGAAAATAATTAGTTCCAAAATCCTTAATTACTTAGTAAGTATAATATAATGTTCCTTCTTTCTTGAGTATAATAATTATGCGCCTCTGGTTTTTCTCAGGAACTTCGAAAAGCAAAACAAATTATTAAAATCAATCATCTCTAGTTTTCTTGCTTGGTTTAAGTGCCATTTTGGTCCCTCAACTTTTCACTTTAGCACCAAAATTGTCCCTCACCTTTAAAAAGTATCAAAATTATCCTCAGACTTTCATTTTCGGTACCAAAATGGTCCTTCCGTCAGTTAAATGACAGATGGCACGTTAACTTGCCAGCAAATCACTAGATTTTTTTAATTTTAATGACGTGTAAATTCCATGTAAGAAAATTTAATATTTTTTATTATTATTTTATAATTTTTCAAAACTAAAAACAAAAAAATAAAAACTTAATTTTCTTTCTTATTCTTTTCTCTCTCTTATCGGCTTTTCTTCCTCTCCAAAACAAACAAACACAAATTTGCCCATTGATAGATTAAGTGGAGATTGCTTTAGTTTTTTCGTGAGCCTCCATGCTTTCTTCTACTCATTAGTTTTAGCTGCTGCTGTTGTTGCTTCTTCATCAAAATAAACCCAGATCTGGGTTTTTCAAAACCAGATCTGGGTTTGTCTCAAGACCCAATATGGGTTTAAGACAAACCCAGATCGGGGCTTGAGACTGCATTTCTCCATCCACCTCCGCTTCTTTCCTCACTCGCCATTTCTCCTTTGAATCGACGGATACTGTTGTGAAGAAGAGCTTGAAGCCTGGCGTCATGGCCCCCGCACGGCTCTGCAACAACAATGGCTGGTTTGCGCCGTCGTAGGCTCACTATAGGCTTGGCCGCGTCGAGATCGGTTCTGTTAGCTCCGGCTCAGGCAGTAACATGTGTCGGGATCTAACTGGTTTCTGGGATCTACCTGGTTTCTGCGATCTACCTGGTTTCTACGATCTACCTAATTTCTGGGATCTACCTGGCTCTGTGGTTTACAATCTCTTGGGCTTTCGCCTCTAACGAGCTAGCCACTAATGCGAGCTTCATTTTTGTTCTGGTTTTTTGAACTCTTGTGGTTTATGTTCTATTTTTTCAAACTCATGGTTTTTGTTTTGTTTTTCCAAACTCTGGTGGTTGATTTTTGGTCCTGATGTTGCTATTTTTTTTTTGTCTTGATGGAACTAGAACTAGAATTTTTGGTTCTCTTTAAACTAGTGCTTGCTAGTTTCTGTGTTGATTTCGCCAGCATTTAGGTTTTGGTTTGCTGTATATCGAGTCTCCGGTGATTCGGTACTGTTTCTTTTTTATTTATTTGCATCCATGTGAGTTGACTTGGTTTGATGAAATTCGAATATGTATCTGAGGTTTTTTTTAGACTGTGATTTAATTTCTCTTTGTTGCGTTTCAATGATGTCAGAGGAGTCATTTGGGTTTGAGAAAAACTCAGATCTAGGTTTGATTTGGAAAGGAAGAGGAAGGGACAAGAGAGAGAGAAAGTGAAAGAGGAAGAAGAGATGACATGGAAGTTTTATTGTTAGATTGTGATTTAGTTTCTCTTTTGTTGCGTTTTAGTGGTATCGAAGGAGTTATCTGAGTTTAAGAAAAACCCAGATTTGGGTTTGATTTAGAGAGGAAGAAGAAGCGATAAGAGAGAGAAAGTGAAAGAGGAAGAAGAGATGACATGGATGAAAAAAAAAATCATTATTTTTAAATTAAATAAAATAAAATGCCAACTCATAAAAAAAGGTGCCATGTCATTAGTTAAGAAAAAAATCCAGTGATTTGCTGGCAAGTTAATGTGACATTTGTCATTTAACTGACGAAAGGACCATTTTGGTACCGAAAATGAAAGTCTGAGGATAATTTTGATACTTTTTAAAGGTGAGGGACAATTTTGGTGCCAAAGTGAAAAGTTGAGGGACCAAAATGGTACTTAAACCTTTCTTTTATTTTACTTGAGAATGAGTAAAAGTTAAGTTTGAAGGAATTTAATAAGCTGAATTTATATAGATATTAATGTGGAATTTTTACCTTGGTATTATTGATATTTGTATGAGTTTTATGGGATTTTACTTGATTTTACTTGACTTTACATAATTTTCATTCTTTGTATAGGAAATGACTTAATTGGAAGAAATCATAATTTTTAGGAGCAAATTATAGAGATCAAAAAGATGAGGATTAAGTTATGCAAAGTTCAAAAGTTAGGGACCAAAATTGTCATTTTACCATTAATAGAAATTGCTTAGAAGGCCAAAACCCAACACAGTTAGGGGTGGGCATCAATACAATACCATATCATACCACACCAATTTTGTATTGTACCGATTATATTCGGTTCTTTAGTCTTGTACCAAGCACTGACACAAATACATTTAACTGGTACACTATTTGGGAATCGGTACTCGGTATTTAAAAAAAAAAAAGAAACCAAGTATTGACCTAATGTGTACCAGTTACTATTGGTCCAATGGAATGGTACAATACCGACCTGTATTATTGTAATTATATTTAGCTAAATTACTTTTTAAAATTATTAAAACTAGCAACATAACATTACTAAAATTACTTTAATGAATCTTTTTATATGTAAAAAAAGCTGGTATAATAGATAAAAACAATTATTCCCAACGCCTTAATCAACATTGTTGTAAACATGACAAAGCCAAAAATATATAAAAATCCATTGTCCATGAAACAAGTCATTAATTCAACACCTAATGCAACTTTGTAATTGTGGGAAACAAAATAAGTAGCAACAGTATTTATAGCAACAACCAGCAGCATTTGCAGCAACAAACAACCCAAAAAACAAATCCAAAAGCAATATTTATAACAACAGCCAACAACATTTGCAACAACAAGCAACCCAAAAAACAAATCCAAAACTTCATATGTATAGCAACAAATGTCAACCATCTAAAAGTGATGAACGTAACTTCTTCTTATATTATGCAAACCATGAAATCTAATAATAACATTTAACTAAAATAACATAATTTTTAAAATCAAAATTTAAATGGTAGACAATCTACTTTTAAAAATATTAAACTTACCTACTTTTGCTTCCTCTAGTTCATCTAAATCCTCACAATCAAGAGTAATATTGACATGTTTTCTTTTTTGCCTAAGCCAATCTTGTGCACCTAGTAGAGCTTGTGCCATCTTAGTAGTTAAGGAACTCCTAAAGTCATCTAACACACAACCACTTGTGTTGAAAGCTGATTGAGATGCCACTATTGAAATTGGAATAGCTAAAATATCTTGTGCCATTGTTGTAAGAACAGGAAATCTCCCACTCTTAAGCCCCTACTATGAAAGAACATCATAAAATTGAGCATCATTTTCCATGATTTCTAATTTATCTTTAAGGTAGATGCCAAGCCCTAATTGCTCATTCTATTCTTGAGTTGCCTCCGATAACTATCTTTTGAATCTCTCAATATCCTTCATCCCTTTCTTATTTCTTGGTTCACTTTGGCAAGAAGAAACATTGCTATTCTTATTTGCCTTTAAGCTTGCAACACCACCAAGACCATTCCCACCAGTTGGTTTAGATCTAACAAGGTGATTAAGGTTACTTCAATCAAGCCCCTGCCCCCCAGTAGAACTAGATGTGGCATTTGTGCTATTACTACCACAATTCTCATTCTAATTTTCTATTTCAACCTTGTAAAAATCAAATAGCTTCCTCAATTCAGCTTCAATCTAGCATCCACATTCTTTTGCTTTGCCTTCCGGCTCTAGATACAAACCCCCAAGAAGGCAATTTTAATATCCCATTTTTTTACTAGGATCCAACACCACTACAAAAAAAAAAAAAAAATGTTCTTATTCATTTTTGTTGGATCCCCCCTATATTTTGTGAACTTTTCCTTCATGTTCCATGTCACAATAGCTAAGTCATTCTCTTTGGAGGTTTCCCATTTTTTTATAAGAGCATTAATATGACACAATTCATGCAATAATAAATTAATAGTACAATACCAACTGCCACTCACCAATAGGAAAAAAGATCTTACAATGTTAAAATTAAAAGCAACTTCAACAATTGAATTTAAATACAAACTTAAAATGTTAAAATTAGAGAATGAGTTTTGTAACTCTAGATGAAGGAAAAGTCAAGAATCTTGAAAACACAATGAAGGCAAAAAAATTTCACAAAATAAGAAATTGAGTTTATTTAAAATCTCATTTACTAAAATTACATTTTACCTTCAAAGTAAACAAATAGAAATGCTCAAGGAATCTAGTTAATCTTCTAGTGTTTTCCCAATCCTCAAAGTCTAGAATCCCAAGAGCACTTGAAGCACTCAATTGATCTCTGAATGTTTTTTCTTACCTTGTGGGCCTATTTCACATTTAAAAATTTTTTAAAAATCCAATTTAGAAAAAAAAAAAGCAGTGGAAAATTAATATAAAAAATTTATTTGGAATTAGTAATTTGTATGTTACCTTTCAAATGCTTATTCATACTTCTTAGCCCTTTGCAACATATCAAAAAATGAGTTTCACCTATGGGGAACATCAAGGCACATTCTTTTTGAAATCAATCTCCTCAAATGCAATCGTTTTCTCAAAAATTTTTACCCTCAAAGTGCTTTGCCTAACCCACGTACAACAAGCTCTTACCAATTCCACAAAATTGTTGTATAATTTCATACCATCATGGACAACTAAGTTTGCAACATGTGCTACACAACGCATATCCAAATCTTTACCCCGTAACACACTAGTCCCCCATTTGTTAAGGCATTCTTTCAATGACCTAACCAACACATCATTTGCACTAGCATTGTCAATAGTAATACAATAGACCCTATCAATAGCCCACTTTCTTAAGCATCTCTCTAACATATCCCCTAAGCCCTCCTTTTTATGACTATCCACAGGGACAAAGCACAATATTTTCTTTTGCAAATTCCAATAATCACTAATAAAGTGAGCAATGAGAGACATATAAGAGATTTTATTTTGTGAAGTCCAAGTATCTGTAGTTAAAGAGACTCTCATCTTCCTATCCTTAAAGAATTTGGACAAATCATCTCTAAGGTCACAATATAAAGCAAGGATATCTCTTGTGATAGTTCTCCTAGATGGAGGCTTAAAATGTTGTGGAAGACATATTGCACAAAAAAGTAAAAATCCTTCTTTCTCAACAAAACTAAAAGGTAACTCATCTAAAATAATCATCACAGCAATTGCCTTCCTAGCTACCACTTTATCAAACTTCCACCGCCCTAAATGCACTGCTTCACCTCCATCAACAATTGTAAACTTTGTCAACTTCAAATGTGGTTTTTTTTTTTTTTCAAATTTTTTGGATTTAATTTGCATCTAGCTATGTGTTTCTTAAGGCCTAAAGTCCCATTTTTTGAAGAACAAACTCTTATGACAGCACTACACTATTTACACCTCCCTTTTTGTTTCCCATCAAGACCAATAAAGCACACAGTATTTCCACACTTTAGAAGTTTTACCTCTTGGTTTCCATTGAGTGCCTTGAGGTTCAGATTGTTGAGTGACCTTAAGAGGTTGATTCTTCTAACAAACTCTTCCCCTTTTCTTAGTTCTATTTGTTGTGCTTTCTTTAGCTCTAATAATATTCCCCCACTACTTTTACCAAGACTATCATTAATATCATCTTCCTCATCATCTTCTTGATCATTGTCTTTGTCCTCCTCTTATAAGTCTTCTTTATATTCCTCGTCATCTTCCTCCATTTGCTTTCCTTTGGTCCTTTTCATTTCTTCCATCCTTTTCTCATAGCTTTCAAATTCTTCCTCCAAATCATATTATAGTGGAGGTGTCTAAGCATTAAAAAATATTGCAAGAATTTAAACATTAATTAATAGTACATAAGATAAGAAGGGAACATAGGAAACTTTATAAATATGCAAAATATATATACCAAGGAATTAAATTTAGACAATTGTTCTCCTCTTGGTGCTCCCTCTACTAATTCAGAAGGGTAACTATTAAGCTGAATTCTTGAAGTTGACATCATTTATAGCATTCTATATTTAAAATAGAGAAAACATGTCAATTGTTGAATAAAGGAAGTAGAAACTAAACAGAAAAATTGAAAGAAAAAAAAATAAATAAACTGACTAAAAAGAGGGAAATAGAGCAAATATCCATGACAAATAGAGTAAGTAGAAACTAAATAGAAAAATTCAAAGGAAAAAAAGCAAATAAACCAACTAAAAAAAGGGAAATAGAACAAATATCCATTATGCTGACATTAAAAGTTTGGCAAGTAAAAAAAATTCTAAATTTGAGAATCTTCAAAGTCAAATGAATAAAAATATAAGCATTTGCATAGGGGGTAGGCCATTTGCACATGGACCCATTTGGCTTCTTTTAAGCAATTATATAATTTATTGCCCTCTTACTTTTTCTTTAATCATAGTCTTCCATCTTTCTTCACAAAAGCCCCATTTTTCAAAGATAAGAGCAAGACAGGGGCTTTTGGCTTTTCCTTCTAATTTGGTAGATGAAACACATATCAAAAATCAAAGCCTCAAAGCAATATCATAGAGATGGGGCATGGTATATGATTCTTTCATAGTCTCACTTTCTCATCTTCTCCAACTTGTCTCCTCACCTCTCGTTTTCCCTGTACTCTAGACTTACT